CATTGCCACCATGACCCCATTGCCACCATGACCGCATTGCCACCATGACCCCATTGCCACCATGACCCCATTGCCACCATGACCCCATTGCCACCATGACCCCCATTGCCACCATGACCCCCATTGCCACCATGACACCATTGTCCCATGACCCCATTGCCACCAGGACCCCATTGCCACCATGACCCCATTGCCACCATGACCCCATTGCCCCATGACCCCATTGCCCCATGACCCCATTGCCACCAGGACCCCATTGCCACCATGACCCAATTGCCCCGTGACCCCATTTCCACCAGGACCCCATTGCTCCATGACCCCATTGCCCCATGACACCATTGTCCCATGACCCCATTGCTCTATGACCCCATGCCCACCAGGATCCCATTGCCACCAGGACCCCATTACCACCATGACCCAAGTGCCCCATGACCCCATTTCCACCAGGACCCCATGACCCCATTGCCACCAGGACCCTATTGCCACCATGACCCAATTGCCCCGTCACCCCATTTCCACCAGGACCCCATTGCTCCATGACCCCATTGCCACCAGGACCCCATTACCACCATGACCCAAGTGCCCTGTGACCCCATTTTCACCAGGACCCCATTGCCCCATGACCCCATTACCACCATGACCCAAGTGCCCCGTGACCCCATTGCCACCAGGACCCCATTACCACCATGACCCAAGTGCCCCGTGACCCCATTGCCACCAGGACCCCATTACCACCATGACCCAATTGCCCCGTGACCCCATTTCCACCAGGACCCCATTGCTCCATGACCCAGGTGCTGGAACTCCTGTGACAGGTGAGAGAGGAAGAGCACGGCACGGCACAGCACAGCTCTCCCCTCTCACTGTATACAGTCTACACGGAGCGGCAGGGTTACTTATAACCCGGCCGCTCTGCTCACTGCAGTCAGAGACTCGGGACTCGGCGGAGGAGGACGGAACCAAAGGAGAGAGGTAAGTGGAGGGGGGGAGGGGAGAGGAGGCTGCACACTGTTTACATGTGATCTCGGCGACATCGTCGATTTCACATGTAAACGAAAAATCGGCTTCCCTCACTCTACATTTAGCTCAGCTTGTACAAAGCAGGACTGAATGTAGTAAGGGAAACTTTCCCACAAGGACACCGCTGCCGCCCCTCTGCGCCCTGCCGCCCCGAGGCCGGGCCTCGGTGGCCTTGTGGGGAATCCGGGCCTGCTCACAGCTCTCTTATTTGCCAGACGGTTCGAAGTTCACATTTCTGTCCTGTAAATGGCAGAGTTTCCCCCCTGGCGCTCGGCGGCGTCTCTGTCCATTCTCAGGTCTTACCACGCTCGCTTGGTCCCGATCCGGAGACCCCCCGACCTGCTCCCGGCACTCAGGCTTCAACCTTCCTTTGGCATTTTCCGAGCTGACGTCTCATTTCTGAAAGGCCGGCGTGAGTCGCGTTACCTTCAGTGACTTCTATTTGTACCCCAGAAGAGCTCAGAACCGTCGCGGTGAACGCTCAGAAACTCCTGACGCAGTGACTACGGGTGTCCTTCCTGGGAATCCCATGATCGGGGGGGTCTGCTGTGCCAGCTGCGGCGCATTCTGCTGAATAATCCCTTCAGTGATACCGGGCAACACATACATTCTCGTAACACAATATCACCCGGAGACGTTATAATGGCAGATCTGTGCCCATCGTACCGAAATACAACGCTATGCCGTGACACAGGGGTGCCCATTAGGTAGAGGGTGATCTAGTAGCTCTCAGAGCTGATGCTGGTAGATCAGGAAGGGGGGGAATGGCGGCCCCTTTATTCCATTCTGGTATATTTATTTAGCTGTGCACACATGATTCCCTATTAGTCTGAGTCTGCTGAGCCGAGCTCCCCGACACCTTTCTGGGGGATACTGGGGGTTGTAGTGCCTCTATGTATTACATCAAAGAATGTTAGTTTACACAGCAAAATACAGCAAGGTGAGCCAGGAGAGAGAGCCGGGAGAGCGAAGCGAGACAGAGAGGAGAGAAAACAAGGAATGACAGCCAGGAGAGAGAGAGAGAGGAGAGACAGCCAGGAGGATGAGCAAGGAGAGAGAGCGAAGAGAGACAGCCAGGAGAGAGAGCGAAGAGAGACAGCCAGCTGAGAAAACAAGGAATGACAGCCAGGAGAGAGAGAGCAAGGAGGATGAGCAAGGAGAGACAGCCAGGAGAGAGAGCAAGGAGAGACAGCCAGGAGAGAAAACAAGGAATGACAGCCAGGAGGATGAGCAAGGAGAGTCAGCCAGGAGAGAGAGAGAGGAGAGACAGCCAGGAGGATGAGCAAGGAGAGACAGCCAGGAGAGAGAGCGAAGAGAGACAGCCAGGAGAGAAAACAAGGAATGACAGCCAGGAGAGAGAGAGCAAGGAGGATGAGCAAGGAGAGACAGCCAGGAGAGAGAGCCAAGAGAGAAAACAAGGAATGACAGCCAGCAGAGACAGCCAGGAGGATGAGCAAGTAGAGACAGCCAAGAGAGCGAAGAGAGACAGCCAGGAGAGAAAACAAGGAATGACAGCCAGGAGGATGAGCAAGGAGAGACAGCTAGGAGAGAGAGCGAAGAGAGACAGCCAGGAGAGACAGCCAGGAGGATGAGCAAGGAGAGACAGACAGGAAAGAGGGAGAGGAGAGACAGCTAGGAGAGACAGCCAGGAGAGCGAAGAGAGACAGCCAGGAGAGCGAAGAGAGACAGCCAGGAGAGAACACAAGGAATGACAGCCATGAGAGAGAGAGCAAGGAAAGACAGTCAGGAGAGCGAGGAGAGACCGCCAGGAGAGAGAGAGCGAGGGAGGGTTTTTTTCATTGGTAGATCTCATGTAGCTCGTCATTTGAAAACTAGATCTTAACACAACAAATTGTGGGCACCCCTGCCGTAACAGCTTCCGAGCCGCAGCCAGAAGACTGAATGTTGCCATTGCTTAGGGAACACATTCGACAAACATCACATGACCAGCAACCAGGACATGTGTCCCAGGTGCCGCTTTAGGAGGGGTGCCATTGGGAGTGGGAATGAAGAACTTCTCCATTGGGGGGCAACTCTGAGCCTTTGCCCCGGGTGACGGAATGTCCAGCTTCTCCTCTGACAGCAACATTAGCTCGCTGCATTGATTAGTAGTCCTTCCTATTGCATGTCAAGTCTTACTGAACATGGTGGCCACATAGAGGGGGCAATACGACTGCATAGTGTCATTGCCTAAAGTGTACTCGTGTCATCTTGGCCCAAGTGGCAACTCTGCAGCTTCCTGTTGTTCTTCCAAACAGGATGAGTTTTCATGACTGGGCCACTCTACGGCCAAAGGTTTGGTCACATCTGACCATGACCACTTATATGAGCTTGTTAAACATCCAATTTCAAAACCATGGGGCATTAATATTGAGTTGGGCCTCCTTTGTGGCTATAACAGCTTCCACTCTTCTAAAAAGGCTTTCCACGAGATTTTGGAGCGTGTCTGGGGGAATTTGTGCCCATTTGGAGGCTCTGAAGTTGGATCCGAACACTTGGCTCACAATGGGCATTCCAGTTCATCTTGGAAGATGTTCAGTAGG